CTTAACAGCACTGCTGGCCTCTACCCATCAAATGCCTTTAAATGCCACCCACACACGCCAGTCCCGACAACCATAATGTCTCCGCACTGCCCCATGCCCCCAGGAGCAGCCCTCCCTGGCGGAGAACCACTGTCATCAAACATCAGACAGAAGAGCCCTTGGGACCAGCCCACCCGCCTCCTCCTTTTACAACCGAGAACGTGATGCCCAGACGCGGAGACAAGAGATTAGAGGTTCTTTTCTTAGCCTCAGAGGAACCGATAACAGAAAGATATTGGGAGGAAGGAAGTCACTTTCATCTCGCCGAATATTCTCTCTCCCTCTCCCTCCCTGCCTCTCTGCCTCCCTCTTCCTAATATGCATGATTCACGCTAGAATTTCTATTTACTAATTTGGTTATCTAGCTACAAATACTATCAAGATTAATGATTATTATAATAAAGATTTTGAAAACAGCCCCCTGATTCAGCCATTTTTCTGTTTCTTTGTTCACAGGGAAGAGGTTAACGGCAGGTGTGTGATACACACGCATTGAAGACAGCTGTGCGCAGGCCACCTGCAAGGCACATTCAGACATAATCAATACAACTGCCCTCCGAGGGGGCGCGGGTACCCATTTTACAAAAGAGGGAGCAGGCTCATGGAGGTGAGGCGGCTGGCCCAAGGTCACACAGCCAGTGCGCTCCGGAGCCAGTGTTGGCACCAGCCTGCCAGGTTGCAGGTGCCACGAGGTCCAGGCTGTGGAGCGTTAGAATGAGCTCGTGATCATCTCCCGAGAGAGCTGAGCTCCTCAGGGAACCCAGTTCTCTCTGAGCAGCTTGGATTCCGGCGCTGGGAGCTTGTCAGCATCTCCAGAAGGAGGCTCAGTCTGTGTGGCAGTTGCTATGACAACTGGTTTTCCTATAATTATAGAACATGGTGGTGGCACCACAAGCTGCACACACAGGCACTTTGTGAGGACCTGTCTCCCCCTGACAGTTCCAGGAGCTTAAACATCACAATTTAAAAAAATCACATTTAATGTAATTACACATTACAGCCACGGAGGCCCAGAGGACGAGAAAGGTGGGGGGCTGGCCCTCCCACCGCCTGATGGGACTGCGGGGCAGGCCACGTGGCATTTCTCCTCGGGAAGGCTCAGCTTTGTGTTTTCCTTGGGCTCAGTGCAATTCAGGGTTCGGCCAAAAGTATATTTAAAGGGAAGAGAGAAGCAAAAAAAGCCACATGAAAATTAGCCTCCTGCTTTTCAAGCAGCGGGGAGAGGCAGCCACGTTAGTGTTCCAGCCCCGCTTTCCCGTTCAGGTTAGTGCATGTTCTCTCCCAGTCCTCACCGCGGCCTTTTGTGTGGACGTCATTACCCCTCTTACGGACGGGACACAGAGACAACACGGCTTTAGTCACACGGACCCAGTGTGCACCCCGATCCACGCTTCCCTGCTCCACGCTGCCTCTTTCCCAATAGTGTGGGGAGCGGGCACGCTTGAAGGTGGGGGGGTGGGGCCTGGTTGGTAGGGTTTGCCCGTTTCCGTGGTGTAAATACTCCTACGGAGCTGGTCCGCACTGGCCTGTAAACATACTCACTGGCCTGGGAGCCCCTCCCTGCAGGAGCGCCGGGGCCGGGCACTCACTGACTCGCCACAGTGGCGCTCTCTGTCAAGGCTCCGATTCGGCCGGTCTGAACCCCGGAGGACGAGGAGCTGGCCCTGGAAGCAGCCTCCCTGGCCCTGCATGGCCACCATCACCCAATCCCTCCTGCCAACCCCAGACGGCCCTCCTGACGCAGCGCCATGTGGGGTTTGTTAAGGAGAACATACATCAGGCCACACTGTCTTCTCAATGCCGGTGATAGAGATTTGTGAAGGTCACTAACGGCACAGCTCACCGACCGAGAAAGCACCAGCCAGACACAGACCGGCATCTTCCTCCTGATGGTCAGCAACCCCCCCCTCCCCTCCCCCTCCCGCCAGAGGGCACCCCCCAGGCAAATGCTTCCCCCCAGTGACGGCTCTGCTCCTCGCCAGCAGCACTGTTTGTAATAACTTACCTAAACGCTCCTCAAAATAACCTTTTTTAAAAAAATAGGAGAGCAATAAAAACCAAGACAGCAGATAATAAAGTAAAACAGCTTATCTCCATTTGCTGCTGTCAGCAAATATTAGAATGCTATGCCGGGAAGGTGCCCCTGGCGCTCGGAAGGGAAATGAGAAGGAGCGGCGAAGCTAAAAATGGGGTCTCACCTCCGGGCAGCGTGAGGAGCAGACGCTGATGGAAATGCCTCGCGGGCAGGAAGCAGAGCTGGCCCCGGTTTTAAATAAGATCCTGAGTGCAGGCGGCTCCCTGCGCCTGTCAGGTGCAGGGACTTTCTGTTCGCTCATCCCTGTGCCCGGTTATTAAACATAATAAACATAACGGCTTCCCGTGCTGGGGCCAGGGACGCGAGTCTCTCGGGGTGCAGAGATGAAGACACACGGCAGGTCACCCATGGGGCCACCACTGCACCTGGTGGAGGTCACAGAGCAGGGGCCGGGCCCCCGGGGGAAGGACAGACTGCGCATGGGCAGCGGGCAAGACCACACAAGCCAGGAGCCCCTGACCTGGGTGTTGAGGAATGAGTAGGGGTTTGCCTGGGGGTGAAGGACTCAAAGGCATTCCTGAAGCGTCAGCCTCTCCCACAGCACAGCCCCTCCCACAGCACAGGCCCCTCCCACTCACAGCCCCCCCACCACACAGCCCCTCCCACAGCAATAACCCCTCCCACAGCACAGGCCCCTCCCACTCACAGGCCCCTCCCACCACACAGCCCCTCCCACCGCACTGACCCCTCCCATAGCACAGGCCCCTCCCACCACACATCACTGACCCCTCCCACCGCATAGGCCCCTCCCACAACATTCACCCCTCCCATCGCACAAGCCCCTCTCACCTCACAGGCCCCTCCCACGCAAGGCCCCTCCCACCACACCGGCCCCTCCTCCGCACAGGCCCCTCCCACAGCAAGGCCCCTCCCATTGCAAAATCAGCTTCAGAAGCACCCAGCTCCCAGGATAAGAAAGAAGGAGGGGCTTCTTCTGTGGCCCCATCTCCTCACACAAGTCGCAATGACTGAAGTGCTTCTAGGTTTTAGAGCAGACAATTCCCGGCCACTCCTCCGGCCAGTCCTCCTCAGCCCGTGTCTGCCTGCCCTGCACTCCTCCATTCTCTCCGGTTTAGTTGCTGGAGCTGCTCTCGGGCAGCTTTGACGTGTGCAGTCACAGCTGTTCGGCCTGTGCCGTCCCCATGGCCACCTCTGCCTGAGCAGCATGCTGGAGGGCGGCCGCGGGAGCACCAGTGTCCGCTCTGACTTCCACCGCGTCTCCACCCAGTCTGCGTCTGAGCACCCCTCTCCTGTCTCCCAGGTGCTCACACTCTAAAAAGTGGCTCCTAGGAACCGGTTGAAATGGCCCACTCTGTGCGTGTGGTCCTGTACACCGAACCGAACAAGAGGGCGCTGTGCTGATCTCGCTGCTCCCCACAGTCTTCCCAGGAGGGGGGCACATATCTGAAGCCCCTGCTGCCAGGACAGGCCAGCTTACTCCCAGGCTGGTGAGTGCACGGCAGGCCTATCCAGCCTCCACACCGCTGCCTGCTGTTCTCCCCGCACCTGCAGGCCGTTCAGCCGAGTCCGCGTCTCCTGGGCCTGTGCTGTGTGCCAGGCACTGAGGCTACAGCCAAAAACACCAGCCACCCTGCTCTCACAGAGGGGTCAGCACCGGGCAGTGCCCCTGCGGGGAGATGCCACCCGCCCTCCGGCTCGCACACCCGCTGCAGGGGCACGGATCTGGCCCCGGACAGACCACTGTGTGTCCATGTGCACCGCTGTTCCCAGACAGTCTGCCCAGCGCTGCTCGCCTCCCGGAGCGCCCAGTCCCGTGGACACTAACGTTACTGTTAGCTGTGCGCTTGCCATGCTCCGAGCCAAGTGCTTTGGCGTATTCGGCGTCACCCTCACGGCAATCCTATTACTCCGTTTGGTAACAGGCATTGCTCAAGCCCAGCTAGATGCTCCGCCGTCCAACTCAGGACGCCTGTCCTGCTGCCTCCCCGTTATCGTTAGGTCTGCCCACGTCTCTCTATCCACTTACCGTCCTTGTCTGAGCTACTGCTGATTTTCACTGGGACCATTGCAGTAGCCCAATAGCCTGCCCATGGTCCTTCTTGCCCACTGCAGCCCATCAACCACATAAAAGTCAGTGCTTTGGTCAAAACCCAAATGCAACCATTCTTTCCCCTTTTTAAGGACCTTCAGAGGCTTCTAGCATAAAACCCTAACTCTCCATACGTGAACTAGACCTGGGATTGTCCGCCCTCTGCCCACTTCCCCGCCTCATCTTTCCTGCTCCGTATGCTCCTCCTAGGCTTCCCTGCCCCTTTTCTGATCCCATGTTGGGGCCAGACTCCCTCCGGCCTCAGGACCTTTGCACAAGCCAAGCTCTCCTCGGCCGCTGAAGTCCAGAAGACTTCCCAGGGGCTCCTCCTCCCACCCTCACAGAGCAGGCTCCGGGCTCCCCCAGGCACCTCGTCCCCGGGACACAGCTGGTCCCTCTTCCTGGTGACTCTCCCCCAGGAAACCGAAAGGCACCCATTTTCTTTTCCCACCGAGAAGGCAGCTTTTCTTTCCCTTTGTCCTCATTGGATCTAACTGAGCAAAATCCGAGTTTCCTGGAGATGGCGACGGGCAGGCAGGGAGATGGGCGGGAGGAAAGAGGAGAAAGGAGACACAGTTATCAATGATGAGATTATCCAAACATTCCGGAGCAGAAGAGGGAGTGAGTCATCCTCAAGAGGCAGCGCGTCTGTTATTTGATTAGACCCAGTGACCCAGACAGCGTGGCCCCAAGTGATGGTCCAGAAATAGCCCTCCGTTTCCGCTCTCCTGTAGGAGCTGCTGCACTCACACGGGCTCTGAGCCGGCCGGAGCCGGCCTTATCGTCCTCTTCCTCTCACACCATCAAGACACTGACCGTAAACTCGGCGATCTTCGGCACCCGGAACTTCCCTTTGTTCTTCTGCTCCGGCTGGTACTCCGTCCTGGTCTTCACGATCACCTGGAAGGTGCGAGCAGAGTTAGCACACGTGGAGACCGCAAACACACCATGCCTCTCCCCTCCTCTCCTCACCGGGATCATGGCGCCGCGCATCCGAGCAGCAAGAGCCTCTCACGCACACACAGGGAAACCGGAAATTCAAACTTCCCTCACCCTTCCCCGTCCCAAGCACCTTTCCAGACGTTTGATGTGCATATAGATGCAGGTGTGCAAATACGTAGATCCTTTTTATGATGGCTTGTACTCTATGAATTATAGCCTGCTGCTATCCCACAACACTATGCTAACATTTTCCCTCATAGACAAGTGTGTATTTTGCCTTTTGATGTCACATGATATCCAGTGTACGCACAGAATCGCCATTGTTGGACGTTTAGATTGCTTCCGCAGTGTGGGTCACACACACAAGCTGTGGTGAGCATCCTGTAGCTAAACCCTGGCTCATACATCCATTCTGAATGGATCCAGGGACTTCCACAAACAAAAACATGAAGGTCTATTGGATCTACTAGTATGTTACTTTTCTAAAGTCTGAATACGTTGCAGAGGTGGTTAATATCTTATCAAGATACGCTGTCAACCTGCCTAGACACGTACAGAAGGAGCGCGGTCCCACGGTCAGGCAGAGCGGAGGGAGAGAGAAGCCTGACAGATAACCTGTGATTATCGCCGATTGCCCCAGTGCTACAGGGAACGCTCAGGGCCTTGCCGCTGAGACACGGACAAGAACCACAATATAACCCCTATGTAACCGTCAGGGTGCCTGTGAGCCACAGCCTTGGCAGTTAGTTCATGGTCGGCAGCATTCTAAGATGGCCCTCCAGGTCCCCACCTGCACCCCTGTCCCACCCAGTGTGCAGGCACCGTATACTATCTTCCCTCGAAAGTGTGGGTGGGGCCTGTGTATGTGATAGTCACGCCTCTAATGACGCGATGACATCTGCAGCTCTGCCACAGGGACTGGCCTCGAAGGAGGAAGCTGGCATGGTGGGTGGGACATACAGCTGTACCTGAGGGCAGCCTCTAGGAGTCGAAAGTGAGCTCAGCCAACAAGGGGTCACTCAAGATAACGGAACTTCAGTCCTGCAACCACAGGATCTGAATTCTGCCAACAACCTGAGCAGGCTGGGAGAGGCCTCAGGTGCCAGGTGAGAATGCAGCCCAGCGGACACCTTGGTTTTAGTCCGGCGAGACCCTGAGCACAGAACCCAGCGTCGGCACCTGGACTTCTGACCTACAAAAACTGTGAGATGATACATCTGTGTTGTTTCAGGCCACTTAATTTTTGGTGTTTTGTTACACAGCAATGGAAAACGAATACAGCTTCCCACAATGCCAAGTCCATCTCAGTGATCACTCGGCTTGCTCCCTTCCTTCCTAGGTCCTTCGCCAGCAGACTGGCCACGTGCCTGCACATCGCACAGCAGATGGAACCAGCATCTGTTTCCCAGGCCTTCCCTCTTCCTCTATATATACATCTGTATATACGTCTATCCCAAAGATTCTCACCAGCTCAAAACCGTCTTCCTTGTTCCATCTAACTTAAAAGACCCTGTACTGTAACCGACATGCTGAAACAGGAGACGGAACTAAAAGTATACTACTATTGGAATGAGACAATGAATAATCTCATCAGGCAATATCATTCTAATTGTCATAATAAACATTTTGTAGCTGCTTCTCCAGCACCCATTTCTATCTTCAATCAAAAGCTTCTCCCAGCCCAGCTGGTGTGGCTCAGTGGTTGACTGTTGACCTCTGAAGCAAGAGGTCACTGATTCAGTTCCCAGTCAGGGCACATTACCCAGGTGGCAGGCTCAAAGCAGGAGGCAGCCAATGGATGTCTCTCTCTCTCTCTCCCCTGAGTGCTGACACCCCCATCTCTTCCGAGTCTGCCTGCCCCCTCCAGCTCACACTGCACAGTGCCTCGGGGCCCTCACCCAGCACTCAGGGGACCCGCCGGACATCTGCCCTTGGACCTGCTCAGTGCACCACGTCCCCGGCAAAGCCCTTGGGTTCCTGTCCCACCTGCCCCTCGACATTTTCTTCCCTGTGTCACCCCCAGCTCAGGAAGAACCAGCATTATCCACACCATCATGCATGTCTGATCAATCATATCCAGGAATCTCCCATGACCCTCCCCTCCCTTCATCCCAAACCCATTCCATCGCCAGCTCCTGCTTCCTCCCATTTGTGCAGTTACACCTCCACCACCCTGTCCAGAGCACCATCATCCCTCCAGGAACACTGGCTCTGCCAGCTTCCTTGTTTCCCTTCCTCCCCTCCCCCTCTCCCCGAACCAAACCCAGGGAAATGAGTGGGCAGCACACAGCAGCACACACTGAGACCAGAGGGCGCCGGGCAGGCCATGTGAGGGCGGCAGAGCTCAGGATGGCGGGCCAGGCCCCCCGGAGGGCGGTGAGGAGCTGAGGGGGACGGAGCAGGGAAGGGCGTTGGAGGTGCATCGCAGGGAGAGGAGTGGACACAGGAGAGATGAGGAGAGCAGCAAAGTGCAGCCCAATGGTTCCTGGGACCCACCGGCTATGAGGCCTCTCTGTTCGCAGGGAGAGGGGCCAGAACCCTCTGTGGAGACACGGTGGCACCCCCTTTTTCCAGTGCCAGGGGAAAGCACTGGAATGCCGGCCAATCGTTATTAATTGGGCCTTGGAGGAATCAGCTTGCATAAGCAGAGAGAGAGAAAGGAAACGAAATGTGCGGAGGCAGGCTCTGTTCTCAGCAGCGGGGAGAAAATGGAGCAAAACGGAGCCCCGAGCTCCCTGAACGAGAACAGAAACGGGCAAACGTGAAGCGCGCAGGAGAGTCTCCCTGCTCGCCTGTTACTCAGGGGGGGCTTCAGAGATGTTTGGAAACAATGAACCTCCAGATTTTTCAAATCTCACTGTGGATTTGGGCAAAGAAATGGATGTGTTTTCTCCTCCTATTTCTGTGTCAGTCCCACGGTCCCTGGGCGGCGGGCACAGAGAACATCATTTACCATAATTGTGAAGGACCGCATTGGGGAAACGGGATAAATTATTCATCCCGAAAGGACCCCTCATCTGCATGGACCCCCTCCGCTGGCCTGGCGGGTAATACATGGCGGTTCAGATGGCGCAAAGTACAGATCATGAAAATTTAAAATACTGCTTCCCGGGATGATCAATAATGAAGAGGCCCCCACACGGCAAGGCCCGGGATTGGCAGGAGCAATAAATAAAGGTGCGGAAGCGCTGACAAGGAGCGAGGCTGTGTTTTTATGAGCTGGACTTGCACAGCCAGAAACAGACGGAGTGACCCCTCCGCTGGCCGCTGCAGCGGGGGGATCTCAGAGCAGGGCGGACCACGGCTACCGTGTGCCAGGCACGGTGCTGGGGGCCCGGTGCATCCTCCTGGCTCACCCTGCCTGCAACATTTTCTCCTTTAAAGCCGTTATTATTGCCCTGGCTGGTGTGGCTCAGTGGATAGAGTGTTGACCAAAAGGTTCCAGGTTCGATTCCCGTCAAGGGCAGGTACCTCGGTTGCAGGCTCTTTACTGGCCCGGGCCTGGTCAGGGCTCCTGCAGGAAGCAACCAATCAATGTGTCTCTCACATCGATGTTTCTCTCTGTCTTTCCCTCCCTTCCACTCTCCCTAAAAATCAATGGGGAAATGTCCTCGGGTGAGGATTAAATAAATAACATCGTTATTATTCCCGTTTTTCCGAGGAATTCAACCTCAGAGCGTCAGCCACCCACCTCAGATGGAAGGCCTGCTCTTCCCTGCCAGGCTTTTAAAGCGGCCGACCCTCTCTACTCCTCTCTGACAATAAAACACGCACCTGTAATCCATGGACGGGCCCTCCATGCCATGCTCCATGAAGCCGCTCTCACTGAGCACCGTGCCTGGGCGGGAGCCCCAGCAAACCTGCCTCATTTTCAAGTTGATTTAACCCGTTCCCTCCCATGGAACATTCCAGCAGTTCCCAACGTGTAAAATACCCACAGGCCTTTGCAAACTGGCATCACTATGCCCAGGGGCCACGACCTGCCGGTGGGAAGCGTGTCATGTTATAAACAATGTCCCACAGCCCCGGAAGCAGGCACCGAGCATGTAACCGGCAGGAGCGCCTGGGCCAGTTCCCGCCAGCACTGGCAGCCCCAGCAGCAGTGCTGGCTTTTGCCATCTGACAGGCAGAAAATTCTACTTTGTTTACAATTATGTTTTTAGAGCTGCTTAGTGGTCACTGTATACCTGTGCGATAGACCTGTCCAGCCACAGCCTCTCCCCGGGCATCTCTCCGGGGTCTTGGAAGAGCAGAGGGGCCCTGGGGGCGGGAAGCAGCAGAGACGGGCATTCCTGCTGCCCCACCGGGGGAGGGAGGAGAGGCGGGGAAGGCGGAGGGAGGGGGCTGATGGCTCTCGGATCCCGTGTGTCAGGCAGAGAGAAGCACCCTCTGCGGAAGCCACAGGAGACCCAGGAAAGGACGCAGGACTCAGCAACAAGAGTGTCTCTCCACTGCGCCCCTTCCCAGTCCACATGTCCCGCCCCTGAGCCCTGGCCCTGCAACCCCACCCCTCTCAGCTCGGGTCACTTTCCCAGCTGGCTGCCAAGCCGTCCGCCCGGAGCCACGTTCTCGGCCCAGGGAGGAAGGGACGGCACCACCGAGGACAGCGTGCAGGCCTCACGCCTTCCCTCGCAGCCACCCCTCTGCAGGTGTCTGCTCACTCCCCAAAGCCAGAAGGCTAAGCCACTTGCCTGAAGCCACACAGCCAGTAAGTAGCTTGGCTGGGTTTGGCCCAGGCCCTGGGACCGCAGAGCGCACGTGGCCTGCCACACACAGGGCGGAGCGTGCCGGGCGCCGACAATGATCTGGAAGCGTCTGCACCGCTCTCCCTCTCGAGCAGGCGAGCCAGGAGGCGTAAAGACGTGGAAGTCAGGGGGAAGGAGCGGGCTTGCCCAGGGCCTGGCAGCCAGCTGGCCCAGTGCCCGCCTCGTCTGGGGCTTCGCCATGGGGGCTGGGCCTGCCGGCTGCTTCCCGCCGCCCGGCGGCCTCCGCTCCCAGCACCTGTGTGTGACTGGCCGCACTGGTCCCCGTGGTGCGTCACCGCTGGGCCTGCTCTGCGTCTGTGAGATGAGGGGAGGGGAATGGCAGTGACTCCCTGAGGGCTGCTGTGGTCATTTAGATAAGCCCAGGCAGGGCCTGACATTGACGCTCCGGCTCCCGGTGCCAGGCCTGAGCAAGCCACCCGCCGCTCACTCCCGTCTGGCCCCTCGCCTGCCCCGGAAGAACTGCTCAGCTTCAGCCCAAGGCACGGGGCCTCGTGCAGCCAGCACTGCCCACTGCCCGCTGCGGGCCAGGACTGGGGCTGCAGAGGCAGTGCCATCCCGGGACCAAGTCTGCATAAACCTACCCACCTCCCCATTCCACTGCCACCGCCAGTGCCCACACCCCCTTCCCCTCAGGCCCAGGGCAGCGGTCTCCGGCTGACCTCTGCCTTCCCTCCTTCCTCCCTCCCAGGCCCCGCCCCCGCCACTCCCCCTCCCCTGTCCTGGGTCTGCAGGACACCCAGCGCCTGCTCTCTGGGCAGCGGGCCTGGTGCCTCCAGGGGCCAGGTGGAGAGAGAGAGGGAGACAGTCCAGAAGACCAAGCCGAGTCCCGGCCTCCATGGGTAGGCTGCTGAGCTCACGCTCCAGCCACGTCTGCGGGCGCCCAGGCCAGCCGGCTCCTGGTTCCACCAACATGGAAGCTTCTGGAACAACACTGCCTGGGTTCTAGGTTCTCCAGACATTGCCAGGATGCTTACCAACTATGTGCGTCAGGAAATTACTTTACCGCTTGGTTCCTGAGCTCCATCATCTTTAAAACTGGGTTAAAGCAGCAGCTTCCTTGTGGGTCCTATTAACTACTAGAGGCCCAGTGCACAGAATTTGTGCATGGGAGGGGTGTCCCTCAGACCAGCCTGCACCCTCTCCAATCTGGGTCCCCTCAGGGGATGCTTGACTGCTGGTTTAGGCCTGATCTGATCCCTAGGCAGTTGGACATCTCTCTTGCAATCCGGGACCACTGGCTCCTAACCACTCTGCCTGCCTGCCTGATCACCCCTAACAACTCTGCTTGCCTGCCTGATGCCCCTAACTGCTTCCCTGCATGCCTGATCACCCCTAACCACCTGCCTGATCGCCCCTAATCGCCTCTGCCCCCACCATGGTGGCTCTGTCTGGGAGACATCTGGTTTATCCAGTCTGATTAGCATATTACCTTTTTATTAGTATAGATTAGAAAAGTGAAAGAAAATTGTGCGAGTGTGTACGGTTGGTTCAGACAGCATCCAGCATTTAGGAAGCATTGACAACAGTCATTACAGTCCTCTACGAGGCCACTTTTAATTGTCTTCTGACCACTGAGAGGTGGGTGTGACCGACCCCATTTCACAGAGGAGGAGACCGAGGCCTGCCTCAGGAAAACTTGGTCATGAATGCCGGAGTCTGTGATGTGCCCGCGGGGAGGGGTCCCTGTAGGGACCTGATCTCTTGGGGCGCACTGGCCTCCCTTCCCTGCACAGTCCACAACGCACTATCCTCTAGGCCTGGACAGAGTTCTGGCCCATCGGACGAGGGGTCAGGGAGAGAAGCCAGCCCTTGGAGGCAGGAGGGGGGGGCGGTGAGGGACAGAGGCCACATAACTCTGGGTGACTTGCAGGTGTGTGGGGGTGGGGAGGTGACCGCACCACATCCCTTCTCCTTGCGTATCCCTTGGACGGCAGATCTCGGAGGCGGTAGCTGTGGGCTGCGGGGTGCAGGCTTTTCCTGAGGCCTCACAAAACCTTGAGAGGATATGCCCTCCTCCCCAGCTGTGATTGTGTCTGGGCTCAAAGTCCTGCATTGCCACACACCCTCCTCTGAGCCGATAGCTAACCAAACCTCCTGGTCTTCCCCTTCTCACCGTAATCAGGTGCGGAACCCTGGTTCCAGGGCACTGTGCCTCAGCTCCGTGGGCTCAGCCGGCTGCACACAGAGTCTCCTGGGAAGATTAATGACCTCTGATGCCCGGGTCTGACCTCCAGGGCTTCCCGGCCGGTTGTTCTGGGCGTGGCCTGGGTTTCAGGATGTGCTGACGCTCCCCGGTGACCCTGCGTGCAGCCAAACACTGGGAGCCTGTGCTGTCCTGTGACAGACCCAGCCAGCACTGAGTGGACGCACCATGCCAGTGCAGACTGCATTTGTGAAGACCTCGGCCACCTCCCAGTTTGGCTCGGCCTTTACCCCGCCCCGCCATGCGCACTGCCACGCGGACACCCCTGCACTAGGGAGCGGATGACTCACGCCCGCCGGCTTCATCTGGCTCTGCCCGCCTCTGCTCAGAGAGCCATTGGCTAAGACACACAATGCCCTTTCGGAGATGCAGGGAGACAGTCAAACAGGCGGAATGATCCATTGTTCACTCTTCAGCCAGGGAACTCCACAATCTGCCTCCAAATCCATATCGTCCAGGGTGCAAAAGCTCCTGATCAAGCCCAGGTGCTCTGGGATGGCTCTTCAATGTAATGCTTCTCCCACCTGTGCCTATGACCCCACCCCCGCCACACACACTCACACTCACACATACTCACACACATACACACACTCACACACATACACACACTCACACACACACACTCACACACACACACTCACACACACTCACACACTCACACACTCACACACACTCACACACACACACACACACTCACACACTCTCACACACACACACTCACACACACACTCACACTCACACACTCACATACACTCACACACACACACACTCACACACTCTCACACATACACACTCACACACACACACACTCACACTCACACACACTCACACACATACACTCACACACACACACTCACACACACATACACTCAGACACACTCACACTCACACATACACACACTCACACATACACACACTCACACACACACTCACACTCATACACACACTCACATACACACACACGCATACACACACTCATACACACACACTCACACACACTCACACTCACACATACACACACATACACACATTCACACACACACTCACACACATACATACACACACATACACTCATACACACTCACTCACACATACACACATACACACACATTCACACACACACTTACACACATACACACACTCACACACATACACTCACACTCACACATACACACACTCACACACACACTCACACATACACTCACACTTACCCACACTCTCTCTCTCATACACACACTCACACACTCCTGTGCCCACATCCATCCCTCATGGACTACCCCGTCAGGGGCTGTGCCCTCACAGGCACTCACTTCCAGCCACGCCTCCCCGCAGACTGCACAGGCGTGCCATTTCCCACAGCCCTCCGTGCTCTGCACATGGTGCCCAGCCTTCCATGCCTCTCCCTCCCGCGGTCTACCTGGAAGGTGTGTACTCACCTTTCAAAGCTAAATTCAAATGCCCTCTGCACCTTCCCTCACCTGTCACCCCCCCCCCCCCCCAGGACTGCGCTGTCTCCCTGAGCTCTCGCAGGCTGCAATGCCTGGCAGGAGCCTTCAGCACGCCGCACGCATTGTGTTATCCTGGTAGGGGGTTGTGAGCTGTCTTTGTATACCAGCTCCCAGCACAGGGACAGCCCTCAGTGCTAACTAAATGCTGGCTGGACCGCATCCGATCTCTGTCCCCAAACCACAGCAGTCAGTTTCCGAAGCACCTCCCCAAATAATGTCACCATTTAGAAGTTGATCATTAGTGCTCATCTGCCCGGACAGACCCTTAAAAGGAAGACATGTAACCAAACACACGAAGGCACACTCAGCGCAGGTCTGACATCACACACAGGTGACGTCATGCCTGCGGGAGGAATGACTGTGTGTGAGCAGAAAGGGGCAGAAGGAAAGGGCCTGGGAGGCTGTGTGGTTGCTTTATTTCCTGCGGCGGGAGGGGGGGCTGGCAGGGGGGCGTCCTACCTTTTCGGGAGCCGGCAGCTGCAGGTGGTTCACCTCCAGCGGGGTGATGAGGGGGACGGTCTGGAAGCCGTCCTCCACCGAGGCGGGCTTGGCGGCCTTCTCGCCGGGGGTGCCGTTCAGCTTCACCATCCTGGCGCCTCCTTCCCGGGCCTAGGCGAGCAGCGGGGCTGTGGTTACGGGGGCGGCGGGGCAGGGGGCGGAGAGTGCTGTCCTCACAGCCCACGCGGGCGGCTCCCCTGGGGGAGGGCAGGCGCTGATCTCCCGCTGGATTTCCTTATACGATTCCCATTATTCAGGGCAACTTCCATCATCCAGACACGCCATCTGCCCCCAGGGCTCCACAGCCCTCACGCTGGCGACCACCCCAGGTGCACACACACACAATACAGCCGAGCTTAAAAGTCTACCCAAGACCCCGGAGCTGAGGCAGGCGCAGGGTCCAGGGGGAAGCGTGTTCTCAGCGCACCATTAAGCCCTATTATTCGGGGTCACCCTGCAGCAAGAGGCATTTCTCCTTAGCACCCAGTTCTATTGGCTCTTCTTCAACAACCTCCCTACAGCACCGCCCGAATCCTCCCTGTCTCCATGGCGAGCGCGCCCTTTTATGTAACACGCATCTTGCACAGAACATACCATTTCCTAAGACAAAACAAAAAGGAGCCGGCTTGAGCCTGGCCCTGCCACGAGCGCCTCCATTCCCTCAACAGCAAAGGGCCGTTTTTTATGTTATTCTTTGCTCCCGGGGAAAGTTAGCAAGCCCGGCATGGCAAGGCTGCCAGCTGGACAGACACGTCGCCTGCGCTCCTCTCCGGCTCTCCTGGAAGGCGATGGGGCTGCCACCCCACCCCCAGAAACCAGCAGCTGCGTGTGGCAGCCCCGCGCAGGGAACACGAGGGGACAGAACAGGGCTGTCGCGGGGGTGAAAGGACGGTGGCGGCGGGAGGGTGCTGGGGAGCGGCTGGAGCAAAAACAGATGCCTACTCACTGCGCTGCACTCCTGGGGGTCAGAGCAGACTCAAGCCAATTCGGCAGGAGGCCGGCCAAGCCTGCTCCCTGCTCGCCCGAGCTGGGCTGCTGGTGCTGAAGGGACAGCGCCTGGCGCGGGGCTGGATCCGGGAGCTTCTGAGCGCAGCGCCGCCGGCGCGGGGATGGGGATGAGCTGCTGGCAGCCGCCTGCCTGCTCGCGCCCCCGCCCACCGGGCCGGGCTCCCACACCATCTGTCATCTGGCACCACCTGCTGTTTCGCATGCATGGCCACAGGAAAACTGGAAAAGCACATTTCCTGGGAAAAGGCACCGCCTCTGGAGCTCTCCCAGAGCGACGCTGGGAGCACCGAGGCCGGCCTGCGTGCTCTCTGCCCGGGGAAGGGAGAAGGGGCAATATTTGTGGCCTCCGGTGCAGAGTGGGCAGCGGTCCAGGCTCTCTCGGACCCCTTCCCTCATTGCAGAGTGCAGTGCTGCCGGAGGGGGCTGGTGGGGGTGTGAAGGCGGTGACGTGGGAAAAGCTGTTAGCTCGGAGCAGGCAGTGCACAAACACAGACTGTCCTCACAATGCACGGGGCCACGTCCGGTCACAGAACCCCAGGAACGGGGATTTGAGCCCTGATCCGATGCCACGCGTGGAAGTGGACAAAGGCACTCTTGGAGGAAGGGAAGGGAGCGTCTCCCCAAGAGGAAAGGAGTGCTGAGTATCCCAACAGATACCTGCGCCGCAGCCCCGCCCGAAGCCAAGTTCGTGGCTTTCCTCTGGACCTAACAGCACGCCCTGAGGGCAGTGCACGGCCCGGACTGGATGGAAGAAACGAAGACGTACTGTTCTTCTGAGCTGCAGCGGGTAGCTGGGAGGCTCTCACCACCAATGGCTGACAAAGAATGCTTCTAAATCTGTGTTTTTAGCATAAAACTAAAATGCATTGTTTTCAGTTAAAAATTTTAATTGCTATTTATTGTTTCTATGAATTTGTAACCACTTTCCTGAATAATTGTGAGTGTGGTGTGGGACTCAGAGATGCAGTCTTTGGAGCCAGACTGTCTGGGATGCCCACTTCCGCCACTTGCTAGGTTTGTGACCTTGGGTAGTTATTTAAGCGCTCTGTGACCCCATTTCCTCATTGTACATTGAGGATACTCTTGGGCTGTTATAAAGATTAGATGAGTTAAGATAGGCAAAGTGCTTAGAACAACATCTCTAAAGGTGTAGAACAAATATCTACTTTAATTATTAGATAAGCATTTTAAGAATTATCTCTTACATCAATCATTTTTTAGTTTTCTAATTTACCAATTTATACCTGAAAAAGTGTTTTCTTCTCCCTCATTTCCTGAAGTTTATCTCATTTTTCTCTTTTGAAGCTTCCTGGGACAAATATCTAATTTATTGATTTGCCTTGTCCCTGACTGATAATGAAAGAAATGCTCTTATTTTAATTTACTTCTGAAATATTAGTTCCTAGATTATTTTATAACTAAAGATTTGCCTCTCTGACTTGAGTCATTCAGTAAAATGAGTTGGTTTTTCATTTTAATTTCTGAATGCTATTTTTCTTATTGCTAATTTATATCTTTTAAGACTAGTTTCTAGTTTTATTGCACGTGGTCTAAGAGTATTTTCTGGATATTCTCTGCTTTGGGGAGTGTATTTATATTTTCTTTGTGGCCTAAGGTATGAATTATTTCTGTTAAAATTCTCTGAACATAAGGAAAGAAATATTCTATATAAATAGATTTTTATACATAACTATTCAATCAAGTTACTTAAATCTTCTGTACACTCACTGATTTTTTTGCTGTTTGGCCTGTCAGAGGGGTTATGTGCTCTTATGTTGTAACATTTCTCCTTGCACTAAAGCTGTGTCACTTGTATATTAGCCTCATGAGTTTGCATCTTCTTTGAACTTTGCTTTAATGAACGTAAAAGAATCTATTGTCTGTTTAGTGTTCTGTGACTTGAGTTCATCTCTATCTAAAATACAGTTGCAAACCCTTCCTTCTGTTAATTCTACTCCCTCTTCCCAGCCTTTTAAAACTGCACTTTATTTCTTGACTAGGTCATTTTAAGTAACCTTTTTAACATGGGAATTTAAATCCTTATAATTAAGTCTGACAATAAGAAAATTGTCTTGCCGAAACTGGTTTGGCTCAGTGGTAGAGCGTCGGTCTGTGGACTGAAAGGTCCCAGGTTCGATTCCGGTCAAGGGCATGTACATTGGTTGCGGGCACATCCCTAGTAGGGGTGTGCAAGAAGCGGCTGGTCGATGTTTCTCTCTCATCAACTTTTCTAGCTCTCTATCCCTCTCTCCTCCTCTCTATAAAAAATCAATAAAATATATATTTTTTAAATTGTCTTGCATTTTTTATTATTTTTATTATTTCTTGTGATTTTCTTGTTTTCTGTATAAACTCCCCCTACCCTAGCTACTTGGGCCCCATATGTATGTGGATGTTGCTATTCTTGTTCTTTTCCCCCCTTTGGTGATTTAAAAAAAAAAATGTTTATTGATTTCAGAGAGGGAGATGAGGAGAGAGATAGAAACCTCAATGAGAAGAGAGAATCATTGATCGGCTGCCTCCTGCATGCCCCCATCTTGGAACCGAGCCCACAACCCAAGCATGTGCCCCTGACCGGAATCAAACCCGTGACCCTTCAGTCTGTAGGCTGATGCTCCATCCACTGAGTCACACTGGCCGGGCTGGTGATTTTTTAATATGCCAAAAACATACGTGAATTGGTGGCCATCTCTCAGCCTGAAGAATAAAACAAATTCTTTTGATAATTACCACACATCTGTGTCCACTTCCTGCTTCTCCCTGTTCCCATGCTCATCAGGTGCTAAACCTGTCTCTACTTGCACTGAGGCCTGTTTTCACGTTGTATTCCCATTTCCCGAGACACTCTTGTCAGAACTGGAAGTGGGAGGAAAGGGAGCAAATGCGAGTCTTTTTCCAAAGGGCGGCTTTGTGTGAAGTAATTATCTTACATGCACACATGTCAGGGAGTCTGGGTGCTTCTGCAATCAATGTCATCACGTCTCCGCACAAAGGGTTTTGCTTTGTCTCCATGTACAGCTATATCTCCAATGAAGGAGATGATAAAAGCACGTTAAATGTCTCATTATAAATCATGTTGTCAGTTTAAGAACGTTATCCCAAATTTAATGGAGTGGTAGAAACATACGCCTTTTAGAAATCTGTTCTAAGAATCTCCCAGAGGCAAGCATAAAGGGAAGCGATGCTCAGACTCTTGCGAGGAGCTCTATATTTAAATTTCAAATAACACAGTCAGAGAGCTCTGAAAAGCATGAGGTTCTCTCATCGCTTACACAGGAAAATGGGTCACTGCCCACTTCGGACTCAGAGGGGGAGAAGGGCCACCGAGAGGCAGAGAGGCAGGCCAGAATGGCAGTGAAGCTTCTCCGGTTGGCGAGGACGGGGTGAAAGGGGGCCGCCCAGGGGAGGAGGAAGGTCTGTGGGTGCAAACTGACATCCGCTTCATATAAGCAGGATGGCTTACACAGAACTCTTCCAACCAAAGCCTGCGGGTGCACTGGGGGGAAATAATTTAATGAGAAGAACGGGCCTTCTGAGCGAGTTTCTGTGTTTTGCCTAGAACTTGGCCTTTAAAAGACATCCTGAGGCTCGCTTCCTGTGACATGATCCATCCAGCTGTCTCGTCCACCAAAGCTGTCCAGTCTGTACTGTAAAAAAGGACACGGTGGAGTGGGAAGTTTGGGGTGCAGAACAGGCTCCCCAAAGCCACTGCCGAGAGCTCTGAATGCTGCGCTTCCTAGGGAGAGCTCTCGGGGGAAGAGGGAAGGAGGGAAGCAGACGTGGTCAGGCAGAGACCTGAATGGCATGCAATCGAAAGCTTATGAACTGTGTATTCTGCAATTTTCCATTTAATGGTTTCGGACCACAGTTGCCTCTGGGTAACTGAAGCCACAGGAAGCACAGGGAGACCACAACAGACAACACAGCAGCACTGACTGCAGTCACCATGCGCAGTGGGGCTCCAGACCACTCGTCCTGCGTGACTGTTCCCTCGACCAGCGGCTCCCGAAGCCCCTCCGCCCAGCCCCTGGCAGTCCCCACCGGTCTATGGGCTTGACCTTTCGGGTTTCTCCTATAGGCGACCACGTGGTATGTCTTTCTGGGCCTGGCTTGATTCATTTAGCATGATATCCTCCAGGGTCATCCATGTGACACAAATGAAGAATTTCCTTCTTTTTATAAGGCTAATATTCCATTGTGTGTGTGTGTGTGTGTGTGTGTGCATGTATGTATGTGTCACATCTTCTTTACCCATTCACCCTTTTTTTAAACTTTCAGATTTATTTATTTATTTATTTATTTATTTATTTATTTATTTATTTATTTCAGAGAGGAAGGGATAGGAAGAGATAGAAACATCAATGATGAGAATCATTGACCGGCTGTCTCCTGCAAGTCTCACTCTAGGGATGGAGTCTGCAACCTGGGCATGTGCCCTGACCCGGGAATTGAATCATGACCTCCTGGTTCATAGGTCAACGTTCAACCACAGAGCCACACCAGGCGGGCTCCGTTCACCCACTGACGAACACTTAGGTTGATTCCATATCTTGACTATTGTGACTAATGCTGCAGGGGACTTGGGAGCTCAGTTATTCTTCAAGACACTGTTTTAATTTCCTTTGCACCCCACTCAGGACTGGGACAGCTGGATTGTATGGCAGCTCTACTTTTAAGTTTTTGGGGGAATCCTGTAGTGTTTCTCACATTCCTACCGACAGTGCACGTGGTTCCACTTCCCACACCCTCACCAACACTTATCTTTATCTTTTGCTATCGGTCATTGTAACGGGTGTGAGGTGAGATGTCACTGTGGTTTGAGCATTTTCCTGGTTACCAGAGATTGTCAGTATTGTTTCATATTCCCATAGTTCTTAAAGTGCAACAAGGGTGTGAGTGTCCCCGCCCAAGAGCTGGACCACATGTCTTTGCCAAGGAAAGAGAGCTTTAGGATTTGCAAATTTCCCATGAAAAGTCCCTCTCTGCAGAGAAGTCCCACCTGCTTGACTTTTTATGCTTATACTTGAGGCCCGATGCCCAAGTCCATGGAAGGGGCTCAGCCCTCGCAGCTGCGGCTTCGCCGGAAGGTCGTCCGGAAGGACGCCCAGTCTAATTAGCATATGATGCTTATAATTATAGGTGAGAAGACAGGGAGAAAGAGGATCCCTCATGACTCTCAACACAGCTGCCGGAGTAGTTGTGTTAAAGGCCGGCGGCTCATGTCAGTACTCTGCTCAGCAGACTCCCACAGTGCCCCCCACTCGGAGGAAAAGGAGCCCTCCAGTCTGCGTCTGTCACCCTCCATCTCCTCTCTCTCCCTACTCCATGGACCTCCTCCCCTCTCCTCCAGCCTCGGGGTCCTGCCTCTGCACGCCTGGTCCTTCCTTCCAGTCTTACCTCCACATCACCTTCTGCGTGGAGCCTCCCCTCCACTGCACCCTCACCACCCCCACCCCCTCCATTGTCCTCCTTAGCGCCTGCTCTCGAAGCACACTGAGTGCTCCAGGTGTTTATTGTGTCTTCCCCGGAAGCCAGACATTTACTATGTCTTGTTCCCGCCTGCTCTCCAGTGCCTAGAGCAGAACCGAGGACATAGTATGTACTCAGCAAATACCACACCAGTGAGCGAGGGAACTAAAGAATGCCCTGGAACCTGGCTCACAAAGGCAGGAGCCTTGTGCAGGCTGGCCCGCTCCCACCTCTGCCCCAGATGGTGTGTAACCTGAGGTTCCCACCTGCAGAAAGGAGTGGGCAGTGCATGTTTGCTGACTCCTGAACTTGGCATTGCCTTTTGCTGGGATAATTTCAGCTTTCAGTCAACCTCTGTCTTTGATGTCCAGAAGATTCCATTTCATGGTGATTTTTAAAAAATAAGAGGTCTGGCTTCTGGCCTGCACGCAATTACATGACACACATACTAATGACACGCTACACACGGGGTGATGGGCTCACCAAGTCCCCAGGCTATTTCCATGTTTAAAAGAGTTCTCTGAGCTTCAACCCCAGGCACAGAGTCCTGGGAGGCACAGGAGGGTCAGGAAGCCCGGCTGGACAAGTGACCATTCCATGGAGCCCCTGAGATCAGACTGGGACACTCCCAGAAACAGAAGTGTCCCCCCTGCTCAGAACCTCCGAAAGGACAGAGGGAAATGGGGCACTCCCTGGAGCCGAGAGACAGCCCTCACTCAGCAGCCACCGAGGAGCTGCTTCCTGCTGTAACTTTTCTGGGATTATGAAACATTTCTAGACACACAATCAGTTCTGAAAGCACAGACATCATTTAGGGTTATCTTTAAGTTAAACAGATGAAACCCAGGGTAAGTTTATCCTGAGGGAAAGTGAGATAAGCTGGCTCAGAGTGGTTGTGCCCAGGAGCCTGGCTATCCCCTCACACTGATGTGGCTTTTACAAAGTGCTGAGTAAAATGAATGAGCCCCAAGGGCAGTCAGCAACATGCACGAATGTTATAAAGTAAAAGTCCAAAAAGAGCACATGCGACATAATGTCCTCGTCAGAAAGTCAGACCCCTAGATGCACCCTTCAAGAAGACATATATGTCATTGCAATAAACGATATGAAAAGTAGTCACATGCACAGATTCGGTGTGATGGTTACTTGAGCGGAGAAGGCAGGGAGGGGTGGAAGGGGCTGGGCAATGTGACCAGATGTAAGTACTTTCTAGCTATTGTCCGCAGAGAAAAGTTGTATTGTGTTTATTATATTCTGCAAAAAAAAATAAATAAACAGGTTTAATACATTTTCACCAGAAAGTATTAGATAAAAATGAAAAGATGTAGAGCACTCTCTAGAACATTCTTTCCCTGGGAGTCTTCATTACTCCAGGGCTCTGGAACAGTGAGGCAAACCGAGTCTGGACCCAGCATGACACTTAGTTTTAAATCTAATAAACAATTCGATCATTAACACAGATTACCTGACTACGCCAAGCAGTGCAAGTTACGTAGAGTAAGCGGACATTGAAATGACCATTCACATTTACCACAACACGTTGTGTAGCACAGATTACAGCATAAGCAAGTACATGTCTCACTTTACAAGGATTTGAGTTTCATCAGCTAAATTTGGGGGCTTTACCAAGAATTCAACAGTGAAAGTTCCTGGCACATTCCCACAGTGCAGGCCCCTCCCGCCGGGCTGGGACACGGCGTGGCGGGCAAGGCCCCGGCCAGCTGCCCAGCTCCGTGTCCTCAGCGGGAAACAGGCAGCTTCACTGGACGGTCACAGAAGAACGCGCGGCCACAAATCCCAGTCTCCAGGGGTTAAATTATAGCTAACGGGAGACACAAAACTAGGAATTACTTTGCTGTTTCATGCCATTGTGAGAGAAACGAGGAAGGCCCCCTCTCAGCGCCCCGGGGAACGGAAGCCACGGTGCCCTGATGCTGGACAGGAAGAGGGCCTGTCACCGCGGAGCAGCATGGGGGCACAGAGAGAAGAGAACTAAGCAGGCACATGAACAAAAAGGAAAAAGATGACCATGGCGACAGCAGTTTCAATAGCATTGCAGTCACAGGGCCCAAACAAAGTTTATTAAATGTCAACAAATATTTAATGAGTGCCTACTGTGTGCCAAACACTGGTTTCAGGAAGGAGATTGGCTGGACTTAGCAATGGGTATACACTAAAGGTTGGAGAAAGTAGGATATAAAGGAGAAATTTTAAAGTCTATACTTTATAATTGTTATTAAAATAGATTCTTACCAGAAGATGATGAGAAGATTCATCTTTGTGATCTGAGTCTAGAAACAATATAAAACAAAAGGAAAATTCAAGTGGGCCTCTGGGAAAGGTTTTCCCATTAATAAGTGCATATTAAAGAATAAGTTATAATACGTCTTAAAGATGTGATCATTAGTCTTTGTAATCTGGTTTAAAATGGTAATACAAAATAACGAATTATAAGGGTATCTTTTGTTTGTAAGAGGCTGTTTCTGAAAAACACAGCAGATTATGTTATGTTGTTAAACAACCCTTACTAGAATGTTTGACGGTTAATAGAAAGCCTCTTGCTGAGGCACAAGAGAACCTGCAAGTTCAAGGCTGCGGCCAGAGCAAGATTAAATCTGACCTAGCATGTTCATTAAAGCTACTGGGTCTGGACTAACTCTCAGAACGAGGTCCGGGTTTTAGCACACTGCAAAAGAAACCTTAAGAAACCACCAACTACTTTTTCTCCTAATCCCCGCTCCTGCTCCATTCATTCTCCTTTTTAATTGGGTAAGAAAAGCAAAATAGAGCATCACTAATCTGAACACTGGCTTATAAGCCATAATTGCAAACAATTTCTGCCATTATTGATGCACACACAGCAATGAGTTTCTAGTGTATATTGTTTACAAGATGGCATTCCGTCTCTAATTGTTATTGTTTGAATATTCTTCACAAAATTAAACTGCAGATTTACTGTCAAAATAGACCTTGTCATCACGTGACTGTCCTAAGAACCTACAGAAGCATCCAGCACGGTAACACATGTGTGAGGACATGCACGTGGAGGAAAGAAAATAACTATGATGATTATCAATCTGTGTGGCATTATTAGTTACATACACAGAGATTTTTATCCAATTTAATTGCGTGGATTCCAGTTTCTTTAATAAATACACTGGATCACACCTAATGTTGCTCAGGCTACAGCATGGAACTCAATACTGATGCAGCTTAACGCCTGGTTTAACATACAGGATGTCTTCCAGGAATGAAGGGTCACCAAGGCCATAGTTCAAGGGCAGGTTTTGCGAATGCATTAAGTTAGATAGCAGCATCATGTGCCTATGAAGTGACGTATAGTTCACATTGCGTTACGCCTTCCTTCATCACTGGGGATCAGCTCTGCAATCTGTATTGAAGGGCTGGCATGGAAATTTAGATTTAAGAGACAAGCGTGGGCCTGTTCACTAAATTCCCGTCAGCATTCACCTCTGCAGCCCTCCACGCCCGCCTCCTCCGGCCTCTGCTCTCCTCCGGCTGCACTGCTTGCTGTGTTTTGAGATGAGCAGTGGTTAGCCGCTTCCAGAGTTCTGGACCTTGCCTGACAGTTAGGAAAAGTCCTGTTCTAATGTGATCCAGGGAAACTAAACCGTTATAGAAGCCAGTCCTTCAGTACGATAAATAGTATAACTTACTTTCGCTTGATAATCCTTGGCATTTCAGCCTGAGTCTATATTGTTCGTTTTCTTCGAGCATTCTAGAAATGACTTTGTGTACTTTTTTCCACACTGAAACCTTCAAAAGATAAGCACAGGTGAGGAACGCTGAGCAGAAAGGCAAAGTAAATTCTGCAGATTTACTGTAAAAAATGGATGTTACCAAGTGACTGCACTAAGAACCTACATTTTGATGGAGGCGACTGGGAGTGACTCAACTGTGCTGCATGCCACCTGATGTTATAATTATAAAGCAGATTAGCACTTAGAGACTCAAACTGAAATGCAGTCATCCTCCGTGACCACTGCCTTTGATTTCCTGGTCCAGCTGCTGGCACTTCCTCCTGTATTTACGTCACCCTTCTGATGGAGTTGCTTCTCCAAGGCCATGTCCACAAAGCTCTACCTAAATGGCTCCCACACATTCCATCTTGTTTCGAAAGATTAAAAATAATGAATTTCTGTCCCCATGTGGAGGCCAGGGGGCAATAATTTCATCTTAATGTGTTTTATTTTTAGATAGGAAACATTTCTACTAAGACATACCAAAGCAAAATAACGAGAGCATGGATGAACTACAATAGAAGAATGAGGACCGCAGAAGCAAGTACACAGACCTCGGCTCTCAAGTTCTGGCTGCCACTCGCTCTTGCTTGTCATTGGGCAAGTGTTTTCATCTCACCCAGGGATAATTCATACAGGGGATTATTGGGATTAATGAAAAATATTTGTAAAGCATGTACCGTGGCTGGTACACAATATTTATGACAATGGCTATTACTCTTTTCTCCTCACCTAAGAGGAATTGGCTCTTGGAAAAAATATTCCCAGTGGGAAATTCAAAATACATTTGCTGCAAGGGTTATTCACCTTGAATGCTATTTATATAAACCATAACTTAAACACTAAGCTCAGAAGATACTATTTTATGTGCCGTTATTAACTAACAATTTCTTTAAACTGAAGTATAAAATATATGGTGGGAATTAAAGATGAGCAAATGGTCTTGAATGTTTAAACATTCTGGTGACCATGACCTTGGGACCAGAGGGAAAAGGTTTAGCACTAAGGTTCGTCCTTGTCAGCTTTCCTGCCAGACGTGTAATGTCTGTCCTTGTCTTTAAAAGAGCAACACGACACCAATAGATACATCCTTTTCTGTGAAATCCATGGTTTTCTTCAATGCTGTCCCTCAGAGTGTGTGATTGTCTATAGGACATATATTTCCATGCTTTGAAAAATCTCCCGGAAGGGCAGCAGCAGCCAGGTGGGAGTGGCAGCAGCCAGACCCGGAGCAGCTGGTTGTGGAGCGAACCAGAGCAACAGAGTTCAGGCCCGGAGCAGCCAGGCCCGGAACAGCCCGCTCCTCACCTGCCCACGCCCCAGGGCTGCCTCTCAGACATGGCTGGAAACTTTTGGGGGAACTTGAGGGTCTGCTGCATCAAGTGATGAAGGCTTAAATCTGGATGTGTTGAGTTATTATACAGCGCTGGGGTGTTGATCTGTGAGTGCCTTGTGTGGGGTCTGGATGAGACTGGTTGATCTATTTGGAAGTGTCTTTTGTGTGAAGTGTATCCTTGGGCATGTGGAGGTATTATTGATTTGAGAAAATGCTAAGTAACTGATTTACTACCTGAAAAATTTAAAGTTCTTAAAGTTCTTGCCAAAAAGAGGTTTTAAAGCTAACACCTTAATTTCAATGGAGAAAGGGGAGGACAAGCCCTTCCCACCCAGAACAGGTAATCCAATTCCAACCAGCAGCTTTGTTTAAACAACGTGTCCATTTACATTTGAATGGCTACACCTTTTGATAGCCTAAGGGCAAGTTTACATGTAAACAAGTTTGCTTCTCAGTTCCCAGGGCAGAAAAAACAAGGTTTAAAATTATTAGATTTTTAAAATTTATTCTTAAAAATATAAAAGTTTATTAATTAAAAAAAACAACAACAACAAAAAGAAATTAAAAAACCTGATGAACAATATTAACTGTTGATTATAATAGAATCAGAGATACGGGAGGGGAGTGGACTGACAATTCTTGGGGGGAAAAGGGAGTGGTGGAGGCGGGAAGAGACTGAACATAAACTGTGCACCTATGGATGAGGACAATGGGGGGTGGGGAAAGGGCAGAGGGTAGGGTGGGAACCTGGTGGAGGGGGGAAGAAATGAGGAACCTTTGTAATAATATGAGCAATAAAGATTGATTAAAAAAAAGAAAAAGAAAAAAAAAGAAAAATCTCCCGGAGGGTAATATTTTGATTAAAATGTGTTTTATACCTTCAAACACTACAAGGACTAGTCTTTATGGTAATAAGAATTTCCAAACCAAATTCCATTTCTGGTCAATTACTTCGACTTTCTCATTTCAGGAAATTAAACTTTTCAAAAGACGGAACTATTTTTACTGTGTTAAGCATATTCATACATTTGTATTTAGAGAGCTTAATCTAAAATTCAAATATTGTCTCCCCCCCACCCCCTCCCCCGTGCGCCTTTCTATAATATACCTCTTTCTTTTTCTTCATTGCTTTGGAAGTTTCATTGGAACGTATGGGAAACTCAAACTTTTTAGTTAACATCTTCTGGGATAAACCTAATTGTTAAAACAGAAAGGAAGTGAAATGTCAAGGTTAGTACATATTTTAAAGGAGGCCCTCTCCTGAGAACAGACAACTAGGAAGGTCCCTTGAGCCCTCGGTGGGGATTTTCACAATTGTTGGTATATTTCTGATCACTAGGTAAAACCAACTTATCAATTAGCTAATATAGGGAAACAAACAAACAAAAAAACAACCTAGAGATAATCTTGGAAGTGCCTAGAAAATGGCCTTCCTTTTCTTTCTTTTAAAAAAATATATTTTATTGATTTTTTTACAGAGAGGAAGAGAGAGGGATAGAGAGTTAGAAACATCGATGAGAGAGAATCATCGATCAGCTGCCTCCTGCACACCCCCTACTGGGGATGTACCTGCAACCAAGGTACATGCCCTTGACTGGAATTGAACCTGGGACTCTTCAGTTCACAGGCCGACGCTCTATCCATGGAGCCAAACCAGTTTCGACTGCCCTTCCTTTTCTGATATGAAAGGTAAGCCCCTAAAAGGTCAGCAACAGTAAACAAATACCCGAGCCCCATCCTGCCCGTGTACCTCGAACATCCCTTTCCTTCTCCATTCAAGTTCAGGTGCATGTGCTTCCCACTACACAAACCACCTGCGGTTCCTCAAACAGTATTCTTACTCCTCCCAGCCTTCGCACACACTGTACACACACACACACACACACTCAACTCAAACAGTATTCTTACTCCTCCCAGCCTTCGCACACACTGTACACACTATACACACACACACACACACACACACACACACACCAGGGAAATTTCTACCTGCTCTTCAAGACTCAGCACATTTGTCACCTCCTCTCTGAAGCCTTTCCTCAAACACAACCAGTCCCGCACGGACTCCAGGAACACCGTGTACATCATGTAACAGCACACTTTCACCTCGTGTGTTTAACTGTGATTTCTCCTCTAGGCTGGACCTTCTAGGGGACAGCCTTGTCCATCTTTCTGTCTACACCACCAGACACAGGAGACACTACAAGTCCCTCAGAGTGAGTAAGCTTCCCGGCTCCGCTCACTGAGCCATGCTGTCTCCCCGCGTTAACTGTTAGGAGAAACCCTAAGCGCTGTGTGCTTGAAAACGTTTATCAACCATAACGCTAACTCTAATAATAAAAGAATTCAGTGGAGTGCGAGGATCTGAAACTAACATACAAAAATCGCGAGGCTGTGACAAAAGCCCATCAGGAAAACTGGCGTATTGTGTGATTCAACTCATAGGAAACTAGAGGCCCGGTGCACAAAGTCTGTGCAAGGGGCTTGGCCCTCACAGCCCCGGCTTCATCTGGCAGGTCGTCCGGCTGTCCGGTCTAATTAGCATATTTTACTATTCTACCATTATAGATTATTACAGACATCCAGAGTAGGCAGACCTATGGAGGCAGGAAGGAGTTTGGTGCTTGCGTGGGGCTCAGGTATGGGGTGAGGGAGGGCAGTGAGCAGGAACAGTGAGTGCTGATGGCTACAGGGCTTCTTTGGGGGTGATAATTGGTCCCCATAATTGCTTGTGTTGACTGCACCTCTCTGTAAAAACAATGCATGCAGTGCACGCTTTAAACAGGTGAGCTGGATGGACGGTGAAGTCCATCTCAACAAAGTTATTAAAAACAAACAGAAAACCAAAGCAGAGGGCGGGCTGAGCCCCAAAGCGAGGCAGGGCTTTGGCCTGGGTGTTGCAGGGAGTGGAACCCGGTCAGACTCCTCACGGGGTGTAACTCAGTCCTGCATGAAGCTGATTTTTTTTTAAGGTCGAGGCTTCACCAGCACAACCGGACACACAAAAAGCGGGCCTCATGGGAGAGGGGGCCCCGCTTTCAGCGGCAGAACCCTCCCGGGGACGGATGGGGACGGATGGACCGGACGCAGTTACCCTCCGGGAGGAGTTTGTGGCCGGGCCGGGAGGGGGTGAGGGCAGCGGGAGGGCTTAACCGCCCGGGGCCAGGCCCGGCCCGGGTTCCGGGCTCCGGCCCGGGTCTCTCCCGTGCGGACGGCTCAGGGGCCTGTCAGCGCCCTTCCCGCTCCGGGGACCCCGGGCGGCGGCCAGGAGGAGGGAGGGCCCGGCCCGCCCCGCCCGCCCGCCCGCCCGCCCGTCCCCTGCGGCCACCTGCGCGCGCCCTTCCCGCCGGAGAGGCCGCGGCCGCGGGCCCGGCGCCGGGGGACAGCGCCCGGGCCCCGCGGGCCCCCGCCGCCCCTCGCGGCTGCGCGGCCCGGCGCGCGCCCCGCGGCAGGACGCCGCCGCACGGGTGCGAGCCGAAGCGGGGCAGGTAGACGAAGCGCAAGGCTTCCCGCCCCCGCTGCCCCGCCGCAGCCATCGCCTCCAGTTTCAGTCCGCAGCCGCCGAACCGCCGCCTCAGGCGCCGCCTCCACCGCCTCCGCCACCGCCTGCTCCCGAGGCCCCGGGCTGGGGGCGTGGCGCGGCGGGGGCGTGGCGCGGCGGGGGCGTGGCGCGGCGGGGGCGTGGCGCGGCGGGGTGACTGTGGGGGCGGGGCTGACTGGGCGGAACCACTGTGTGTGTGTGTGTGTGTGGGGGTTCCAGAGCTGGACCACTGTGTGTGTATGTGGGGGAGGGGCCTAGGGAAAGGACCACTGTGTGTGTGTGGGGGAGGGGCCTAGGGAAAGGACCACTGTGTGTGTGTGGGGGAGGGGCCTAGGGAAAGGACCACTGTGTGTGGGGGGGTGAGGGGCCTAGGGAAAGGACCACTGTGTGTGGGGGGGGGAGGGGCCTAGGGAAAGGACCACTGTGTGTGGGGGGGTGAGGGGCCTAGGGAAAGGACCACTGTGTGTGGGGGGGTGAGGGGCCTAGGGAAAGGACCACTGTGTGTGGGGGGGTGAGGGGCCTAGGGAAAGGACCACTGTGTGTGGGGGGGTGAGGGGCCTAGGGAAAGGACCACTGTGTTTGTGGGGGGGTTCCAGAGCTGGACCACTGTGTGTGTGTGTGTGGGGTGAGGGGCCTAGGGAAAGGACCACTGTGTGTGTGTGGGGGTTCCAGAGCTGGACCACTGTGTGTGTATGTGGGGGAGGGGCCTAGGGAAAGGACCACTGTGTGTGTGTGGGGGAGGGGCCTAGGGAAAGGACCACTGTGTGTGGGGGGGTGAGGGGCCTAGGGAAAGGACCACTGTGTTTGTGGGGGGGTTCCAGAGCTGGACCACTGTGTGTGTGTGTGTGGGGTGAGGGGCCTAGGGAAAGGACCACTGTGTGTGTGTGGGAGGGGCCTAGGGAAAGGACCACTGTGTGTGTGTGTGGGGGGGGGGTTCCAGAGCTGGACCACTGTGTGTATGTGGAGTGAGGGGCCTAGGGAAAGGACCACTGTGTGTGTGTGGGGTGAGAGGCCTAGGGAAAGGACCACTGTGTGTGTGTGGGAGGGGCCTAGGGAAAGGACCACTGTGTGTGTGTGTGTGGGGGGGTTCCAGAGCTGGACCACTGTGTGTATGTGGAGTGAGGGGCCTAGGGAAAGGACCACTGTGTGTGTGGGGGGGGGTTCCAGAGCTGGACCACTGTGTGTGTGGGGGGGAGGGGCCTGGGGAAAGGACCACTGTGTGTGTGTGGGGTGAGAGGCCTAGGGAAAGGACCACTGTGTGTGTGTGGGAGGGGCCTAGGGAAAGGACCACTGTGTGTGTGGGGGGGAGGGGCCTAGGGAAAGGACCACTGTGTGTATGTGGGGGAGGGGCCTAGGGAAAGGACCACTGTGTGTGTGTGGGGGGGGGGGGTTCCAGAGCTGGACCACTGTGTGTGTGTGTGTGGGGGGGGGGTTCCAGAGCTGGACCACTGTGTGTGTGTGTGTGGGGTGAGGGGCCTAGGGAAAGGACCACTGTGTGTGTGTGGGGTGAGAGGCCTAGGGAAAGGACCACTGTGTGTGTGGGGGGTGAGGGGCCTAGGGAAAGGACCACTGTGTGTGTGTGTGTGTGGGGGGGGGGTTCCAGAGCTGGACCACTGTGTGTATGTGGAGTGAGGGACCTAGGGAAAGGACCACTGTGTGTGTGGGGGGGGGGTTCCAGAGCTGGACCACTGTGTGTGTGTGGGGGAGGGGCCTGGGGAAAGGACCACTGTGTGTGTGTGGGGGAGGGGCCTAGGGAAAGGACCACTGTGTGTGTGGGGGGGAGGGGCCTAGGGAAAGGACCACTGTGTGTATGTGGGGGAGGGGCCTAGGGAAAGGACCACTGTGTGTGTGTGGGGGAGGGGCCTGGGGAAAGGACCACTGTGTGTGTGTGGGGTGAGAGGCCTAGGGAAAGGACCACTGTGTGTGGGGGGGAGGGGCCTAGGGAAAGGACCACTGTGTGTGTGTGGGGGAGGGGCCTAGGGAAAGGACCACTGTGTGTGTGTGGGGGAGGGGCCTAGGGAAAGGACCACTGTGTGTGTGTGGGGGGGTTCCAGAGCTGGACCACTGTGTGTGTATGTGGGGGAGGGGCCTAGGGAAAGGACCACTGTGTGTGTGGGGGGGAGGGGCCTGGGGAAAGGACCACTGTGTGTGGGGGGGAGAGGGGCCTAGGGAAAGGACCACTGTGTGTGTGTGGGGGGGGTTCCAGAGCTGGACCACTGTGTGTATGTGGGGGAGGGGCCTAGGGAAACAACCACTGTGTGTGTGGGGGTTCCAGAGCTGGACCACTGTGAGTATGTGGGGAGTAATGAGGGCAGGACCACTGTGCGAGGACAGTGGGCCAGGAGTAAATAGTTGAGGAACTGGCCTGGACCAAGGTGGGGAGGAGAGCTGGGGAGGGCCACTGAGGACCATACTACTGTGAGTTTGTATGTGGGGGGAGCTGAGGGGAGAGACCACTGTGGTGGAGAGGAGGCTGGGCTGGACCACTGTGGAGATGCTGGGGAGCGGACTACTGTGGGGGTTTCAGCTGGGGAGCCAGATCACATGCTGGCGAGGGTTGGGGGTTGCGCTGTGGGAAGGAACGAGGGATGGGGAAGCTGCAGGAAAGTGAGGGAGGCTAGGGAGCCAGGTCACTCCATGGACAAAGGGAAGAGGGCCCTCTGGGGAGACG